ATGTTTATTAAATAACAGCTGATTAAAACCTGGTACTAGATGAAACAGGTTAGTGATGTACATGTTTATTAAATAACAGCTGATTAAAACCTGGTACTAGATGAAACAGGTTAGTGATGTACATGTTTATTAAATAACAGCTGATTAAAACCTGGTACTAGATGAAACAGGTTAGTGATGTACATGTTTATTAAATAACAGCTGATTAAAACCTGGTACTAGATGAAACAGGTTAGTGATGTACATGTTTATTAAATAGCAGATGATTAAACCATGATACTAGATGAAACAGGTTAGTTATGTACATGTTTATTAAATAACAGCTGATTAAACCGTGATACTAGATGAAACAGGTTAGTGATGTACATGTTTATTAAATATCAGCTGATTAAATCCTGGTACTAGATGAAACAGGTTAGTGATATACATGTTTATTAAATATCAGCTGATTAAAACCTGGTACTAGATGAAACAGGTTAGTGATGTACATGTTTATGAAATAACAGCTGGTTAAATCCTGATACTAGATGAAACAGGTTAGTGATGTACATGTTTATTAAATATCAGCTGGTTAAAACCTGATACTAGATGAAACAGGTTAGTTATGTACATGTTTATTAAATAACAGCTGGTTAAAACCTGGTACTAGATAAAACAGGTTAGTGATGTACATGTTTATTAAATAACAGCTGATTAAACCATGATACTAGATGAAACAGGTTAGTGATGTACATGTTTATTAAATAACAGCTGATTAAACCATGATACTAGATGAAACAGGTTAGTGATGTACATGTTTATTAAATAACAGCTGGTTAAATCCTGGTACTAGATGAAACAGGTTAGTGATGTACATGTTTATTGAATAACAGCTGATTAAAACCTGGTACTAGATGAAACAGGTTAGTGATGTACATGTTTATTAAATAACAGCTGATTAAATCTTGGTACTACAAGTAACAGGTTAGTGATGTACATGTTTATTAAATAACAGCAGGTTAGTGATGTACATGTTTATTAAATAACAGCTGATTAAATCCTGGTACTAGATGAAACAGGTTAGTGATGTACATGTTTATTAAATTACAGCTGATTAAATCCTGGTACTAGATGAAACAGGTTAGTGGCAGGTGTTGCCAACTAATTGCCTTCCCTTTAGTCAGCAGTTAACATTTTGTGACAGTGACAGATAGCTTTTGTGATTCTGCCATAATGAAGACAAGATAAATAAGTTTGGTGGCAGTATTTTGATTACTTGGATAGTTGGAATAATTGAAAATAGTAATAATTAGAAACCATAATGTCAGTTAGTTGATTATTTTTGTGACAGTCAATTTAATCGTTACTTAAATTAATTATTGTTGAAATAATTGGAAACACTAAGTTTGATTTGATCATTTTTGTGACAGTCAATATAAATGTAACTTCAAGTTATTAAATATTGGATTAATCAAAAACAGTGATAATTTTAAACACTATTTTGATTTGTTGATTAGTTAATGTAACCACTGCTCTTAAGTAAGTTGTTATACTGATAAATTGATTAAATCACCTAGTTCAGTGTTTATGTAATAAATTGTTACACAGTTTGTTTCTGACTTCTTATTTCCTTCTCTGAAAGTTATTGTATATAATTTAGAGAAATCTAATTTTTATACTAAACTAAACATTTTGTTTGATTGAATGGTAATGAAAAATAAATGTTAGGATTAAGTAGCTTTTGCTGCATAAAATTGCAGTATAGTATTTGATAATTTAAGTGCATCCATGTGTTTCAGTTTATTGTATACATACGTACTCTAGTGTATATGACACACCAAATGATATTTGTGATAGCTTTTAGCTAATCCAGGTAATTATTGAGGAACTGGTGATTTTTGGAGATAATTTGAATGTATTTTCTCCGAAACTTGTTTCTGTACAATATTTTTAAAGTTGAATGTTTTATTACTTGTGGTTTGGGTAACCATAAAATTGCCCATTTTCAGATAATAATGAAGATTATGATGCTGATGAAGAAGACAATCTTTTTTTAAAAGACAATCAACAAAGTGATAAAGAACTTATGCCTCCACCTCCAATTCCTCCTCCATGGACACCTACGTCTAGTGGGTTGTCTAGCTTGCCTACTAACATCAGTACTATTGTGTCAGGAACCACTGAAAGTGATTCATCAACATATAGTCCTGAAAAGAAACAAAAAAAGTTGGATACACCATTAGCAGCAATGTTACCTTCAAAGTATGCAGATCTTGATGTCACAGAACTTTTCCCTGAATTTCGCCCAGGCAAGGTTTGTTGTTTCTTTGTTTTCTACACAAGTTCAGGATTTAAAACACTGATGCACTTTGAAAATTCAAATATTGTGTACATAGATTTTGAATTTGTTGTTTTGCAAAACTTTTTTATATTATTTTGCACAACTTCTATAAACTTGGCAGCACAAAATGTCCATATTACAGGTGTAAAAATTATTTCAATTACAGATTTACCTCTAGTATCACATTGCTTTTTTTATTAACAGATCCAATATTCAAGAATCCTATGGTAGTTATCTTGTAAACCCTATTAAGTTGAGTTGTTTACTATCAGCTGAGGTAGGGTGAAGTTCCATCTTATGCCTTCTGTTCTGTAGAATTCATCACAAGTTTGATAGCAATTCTTCGTATGTATCTGACATTCAACATTTGGATTAGTCTTCTACAAGAGTCACTCATGTTCTTTGACTTATTTATCCTTATCTTGGAATTTTATTTGAATTGGTCCTCAAGATTCCCTGCTACTTGGCCCATCGTTCTTCTAGTCTTTTGGATTCTGATGTTGTTCTACCTGATGTGAGTTTTTTGTGAGTTCATCATCTTGGAACTTTTTGGACAAATATATCCTGTAGAATGCTCTTCTCATACAAGATTGAATTACTCTGATTGCTATTATTTTCAGGTTCAACTCTCTCTTTCACTTCCTTTTATTTTTGAGCACACCATTTTAGAGGAGGTCAAAAATGTATGATTGATGGCTGCTTGTCACAAACCATTTTGCATAATTGTTATGTGCTTGGATTCAACTTGTATGATTTGGAACTGTCTTATTTTAGTTGGTAGTGGGGTACTTCAAATCCTAGCATCATTAATTTGTTGCAGAGTATCTTGAATTATTTCAGGATGTTTGTGGTACCACTTATGCGTTATTTTTTTGTACTTTTGTTCAGAGAAGGCCTCAGCAGACATGTTATATAGTACATTGTAGATAGCACCTTTAGTTTGTAGTAGAGTATCTTTGATTATTTTAGGATGTCTGTAATATGATTTATGCATTATTTCCTCTACTGTTATTCACAAAAGACCTCAACAGACAGGTGATGTAATAGGTAATGTAGATAGAGAGGTTTATCCATTCCAACAGGCTGCACCTTCTTTTTGATTGATTGGATGTCTCAATTCCTTTTACTATGTGATTTGCTTATTTCTTAGACTTATGCTTTTGTGACATTGTTTTTAACTAAATGCTTCCTGTCTCCATACTGTCAATAATAGTTTTAAAGAACTTGATTTTTAAAGACCATTAAAATATCCCCTGAATTATTCTGTTACACTTTGTTATTTGCTGTTGTTGGTGGCTCAACATAAATTGCAATACAACTTGGGTTCCAGCCATAACTCTTTCTTCATCTTTACCCATTAACAGATGCATTCTTGATGGCTTAGTCTTTGTCATTTGAATTGTTTAAATATGATAACTTTCGAATTATGGACCATGTTCAAACCTTGCCACCGCTTTTACTTCAAGGTATCAGTAATAAATAAACTTAGTATTCTGAAAATTGTTTAATCTTGAAGTTCAAAGGAAGTCCAGTTCAATCTACACATTGATCAAGACTCTAATCTTTTTTTACCAAACTGTTCGTTATTTAACTGGTTTCGTAGCATCACAGGTTTCTCTTCAGTACAAAAACTGTAAAAACCAGAAGATAACTAAAAACTTTCTTGAAAAGTAATGAAATTTAGGTTTAAAATTTATATAAAAATATTTATATAAGATATACAAGTTTTGTATTTTATATCTGAATTTTTTCTTAAATATATTATATTTATTATGTTTTGTAAAAAACTCAGGTTACAAACAAATCAGTAAAGTTTGTAACAATTGTTTTTCGTAGGTTCTCTGTTTTTCACGATTGTTTGGTCCTGGGAAACCTTCAAGCTTACCTCAAATCTGGAGAGGTGTTAAAAGTAGAAAGAAGAAGAAACAACAGAGTGAAGGGGAACAATATCGACAAGTGAAACCAAGCAAAGGCCTTGAGTTGGCATGTGGTTCTCCACCTTCTGCTGATATGGTGGAAAGTGACGATGAGGTATCAACATGTTTTATTTGGTTCATGCTTAAATAATATTATTGTAATCCTTTAATAAATAAGTTTTTATTACAGGATAAGATCTGGAAAACTGGTCCTAAGTGTGTGAAACTGTAAATCGGCCCACAGAAACAACATAACGGTTTACATGCTGTAATATGGGTTTCGACATTCATATTGAACATTATGCATGAAAATGGTAGCCAATACTTAGTAGATGGATTTCCCATCCCACATCACCCATCATTAATATGATATTTTTAATTACATTTACATTTTTATGTTGTAGTTGTCACGTTGTTTGATTTTCTTTGTATATTTTGAAGTATGTGTTAAAATGTTTATGTTTACAGGTGTAATATCAAAAATCAGTGAAACTGTCAAAGAATACATATACCTTAGTCGATAACATGTTGCATTTTATTAACTATTCTGCACTGTGTAGAATGTTTCATCACTGAAGTGAAATTGGTGTTTTGCTATGAAGATTTTGCAATCCAAATAATTAATCAGTTAAAATTTAAACAAGGCTAGTTAGAATCAAGAAAGAAAAATATTTGATAAAGTATATAATATATATACTTTATATTTCAAATTGGGAAGTTAGATTTGTCATTTTGAAATACACCTAGAGAAACATTCAATTAGAGGATAGTAAATTTTTCTATGATGCCACTATAAAACAAAGTAAAATTATATATATATCTAATCAAGATAAACTTTCTGAACTCTAACAATGACATTACAACTCATTTAGGTGTATATGCATAGTCATTCAATAAACCTTGCTATGCAACATAGGTCAATTGGTGGGGAAATGTCTTCTGTTTGAGTAATGGTTTATGGTGTAAAGATTAATTGCTGGCATTGAAAAAACTTTTTTAACTTTAAAATTATTATAAATCAACAAGAGGTATAGTACAACATGAAAATAATACATATAACAGTTGCTAACATTGTGTGGGCAGTAATTTTATGTATTTACTTCAGTAAATTAGTAAAACCAAACACATTTATTCTGCAAAATGTAGACTTTCAGAAATAAAAATGTAAAGAAAGTTTGGAGTTGTAGATATTACAAAGTAAAACATGAAGTAAATAATAGTCTTTAAAACGTTTGTAGATATTACAAAGTAAAACATGAAGTAAATAAAAGTCTTTAAAACGTTTGTAAAATAATGAAGTACAACAATATTATTTAGAAGAAACTGCTGAAAAACAAATTATTCTGTTGTTATATTAATATGTATGTTCCTAGAGTTATAACTGTATCATTTAACTTGTTGATGATCTAGAAAATGTGGTTAATGGTGAATTGTTTAGCTCTTGACTTTCCTGTACTTTGTATATCTTCTCTTATGTATCAGTTTCAAAATGGGAAGCTAAGGTGTAGATTTTCATCAGTTCCATGTTGTAGTTCAGTATGCTTGTAATAATGTTGTAGATTACTGTACCATGGACATCCAAGTAATATGTATATGGCCCTGTTAGCTAGACACTATGTGGGAAACTGCTGTAAATCGTGTGTAAAACAATTTAATTTTGGCATTTTTATACATATAAGACTGCTCTGAAATTTCTTCCTGTTTTTATGAAACTGGTTTGACAGATTTTATTCCAATTTATTCCTTTGAATATTACATAGCTAAGATTGATACAGCCAGAGGAACAGAAGGGCTTGTCCAGTAAAGGTGAATCTCATAAGCCAACAGATATGACACCTGGTGTTGCTGACTGGAGGTATGGACCTGCACAGCTGTGGTATGATATGTTGAATGTTCCCGAAACAGGAGAAGAATTTGACTATGGATTCAGAATGAAAGAGGTAATGTAAGGATATTGTTTATGAAATATTTGGAATTATCTGTTAGTGTAATGCTATAATTCTCTATAGATGTTTGTCATTTGGGATTTTGTAAAGGTTAGTTATTGTAAAATAATGTTTTTTTAAGAATCTTTATTTACAATTTGTGAAGTAAACAAGTTTAATCTTTGGTTAGGTTAGTCATATGGATAATAATTTTATGATTTCTTTCTACTGTATAAAAACCCTTACTGGCTTATACACCTGGTTTAACATCTTTGTTTCAACCTGTGTTTATGTCACCTTGCATTAAACCTCCTGAATAGAACCTATAGCATCTTCTCAAGCTATCTTTCAGTATTATGTAATGGTCTATAATGAATATGCTGCTACAATCAAGGTACAACAACAAATTCATTAAATAACAACAACACTTAAAAGTAAATTCAATACTTACCAAAACACACTTAATAAACACGTGCTTGACCAGGACTTGACACTAATGTTAATAACCAATTTGTCATATATATCAATATTATTACAAATAATAGAATGGGGAAAAAAAACAAAATGAAAAACCAAACTCCAAAAAAATACAGCAAACACAATATTCCAAAAATACCTTTCAATATTAATACAGTATCAAGTGATAAACAGCAATAATTCACTAATTGCCTCATGACTCTCTCTCACAGTGAAGCTTTTGGCAGGGTATTTATTCAGTGAATAGGTCACGAGAGTACAGCCTCGTGATAATAAATTTACATATTTTTCAACTATATCTATAGTATCTGTATGTCACTGCTAAAAAAGCTGGTGTCAGTTTCATTATACATACATATTTACTTAAAATATAAATGATTAACTAGAAGGTGAGTTAGTGTTTTAATGCAAATAAAAATTCATAGATAAACTAAATGATAGAAGGAAATAATAAATGAACAATAAACACAACCATAATCGTAAAATAATAGAAGTTGCTATTCCACAGTATTTGGAAGTTACTTTTATACAAAATACCTTAATCAAGAATGGGTATCCCGTATATTTTTTGGAAAAGCTAACAAACCAGTTTCTTAACAACAAAATGACACCTGGTAAGAAATCATACACTTGCCGAGTCTTTCCTTACCTTAGCTATCCCTTTCCTTAGTGAATATAGCATTATTGTCATAAGTCAACTACAGAAGTTAATTAAAACATTTTACCTGTAAATCAAACTGTGATGAATTTTTCAGAACAAAGACCTGCTACCTACTCTATTCATGAAGATACACAAATCATATTAGAAACTATAAAGGTCACTAACTTGTCTGATTCGCTGGAGCCCATAGTGAGTGTTAATAAATAGGGAAAATGTCATATCTGTTGCTTTAAAGAGAATGTAATGTTGCATGAACCTAGTAATCACCGAGTGTACAGCTTAACTATATAAACAAATTTGATACACCTATAAATTGTCCCAAAAAGTGATTTGTTATTTGAAACCTAATAAGCTTTTGTGATTAATTTGGATAGTTAACCCACACATGATAATTTCAAGTTTAATTAGATTAGTCCCTTGTGAAAATGCTGCCCTTTATTTCTGCAGGATTTCACCAGGTTGATAAAATAAATTACATACAGCAGAAATGAGATTTTTTGTAGTGTGACTGTTATTTTTACAATAGAACTATTTAAGACTTGCATAACTGCACACTTGGTGAAAGATTGTGATATGTTGTTCTAAGAGCCTATTTATCATTCTGGAAAATTTCTATAAAGTTTGTACAGTGCTAATTAATGATGATGGATTTAATAAAAGTAATCTTTTGAATATAGTGTTTGCTATATTTAATGTTTTAAAGTTGTGTTTCAAACTAAACAGTATGGTTCAGGTATTGTGGTCAACTTTGTAAACAGCCTTGAAATGTGTTACAGAAATTACAGATCTGCTACAGAATTATTAAAAATTTGCCATCATTTTCATCATTGACTATAGGATAAGGCATGGAAATGTTTATCATGGAAGATTAAAGGATAGGTCATTGAGGACTATAGGATAAGTCGTTGGAATCTTTGTAATGGAGAACAATAGGATAAGTCATGGGAATGTTTGTCATGAAGGACTATAGGATAAGTCATGGGGATATTTTTCTTAGAGGAGTAGGATAAATCATGGGAATGTTTATTATGGAAGACTATAGGATAGGTCATGGGACAAAGATTCCCATGACCTATCCTATAGTCCTCCATTACAAAGATTTCAATGACCTATCCTATTGTCTTCCATGAGAAACATTAATGGAGGACTATAGGATAGGTCATGGGAATCTTTGTAATGGAGGACTACAGGATAGGTCTTTGGAATCTTTGTCATTGAGGACTATAGGATAAGTCATTGGAATCTTTGTAATGGAGGATTATAGGATAGTAAACTTAGAATAAGACCCAAAACCTGATCGCTTTGGAATAGTTGACTATTCTTCTTCAGGAGAACAAAGGATGACCTTTAGCCTGCACAATGCAATATATAGTAGGACTATAGGATAGGTCATTGGAACTTTGTAATGGAGGACTATAGGATAAGTCATAGGAATGTTTGTCCTGAAAGACTGAAGGGTAGATCATGGGAATGTTTGTCATGGAAAATTATAGGATAAGTCATGGGAATGTTTGTCTTGGAGGACTGTAGGATAAGTCATAGGAATGTTTGTCCTGGAAGACGAAGACTATAGGATAGGTTTATAGGAAAATATGATATATTGTAGGAGACTAGGATATATAATGGAAATGATTTTCATGGAGGACTATAAAATAGGCCCTGGGAATGAATGTGTGAAATATTATTTGTTGAGGTACTGATGAAAGTAATACAGGTGGTGTTAATATTTTGGAATCTAGAAAAAAAAAGCAGTATTATGATATCTGAAATCTTTGTTAGTAGTGATCAAATTTAAGAATTATTGGATTTAAATTATTACTTTTATAAAACACTGTCTTTCCTTTTGTAATGTATAGAGTGAAGAAGAAGAAGATCAAGAACAGGCATCAAATAACCTCCAGAACAAAGATGGAGAAGTCTATCCTTCTGATGCCTACCTAATGGTTACACAGCTGCAGTGGGAAGATGATGTTATCTGGAACGTTAATGGAGAAGATATGAAGCAGAAGGTACTATTGAAAGTACTTATTTACTGTTGTTGAATAGAGGGTAAACCACTTTTCTGGAAAGTGATGCATTTAAGATAGTATTTAAAAACTTGTCTTATTGAAAATCTGTGAAATTTAAAGGCCCTTAACTCTCTCAACACCGACTCTGTCGATTTGACCGACCATGTGATCTCTTTGTACTTGTATAAGATTTCTATAGATTCGATAGTACTAACTTACTATACAATCTGCAATAGATTCATTAACATTACTCTGTGGGTTACCACAGTTGTATCTAGAACTTTAAATAATTGTCTCCTGTCAAAGTCCACACAGACAGGTTCAATTACTTTAGAACACTCTTTGACAAGACAAATTATTCTCCTTATCTCTGTTAACTCTTTTTAACACAGGCTCAGGTGGTCTAACCGGCCATGTGACTTCTTTGTACTCCTTTAAAAGTCTATAGATTTGATACAACTAAATTTTAATATAATATGTATATCTTCACAAAATTTATTATTATCTTTCAGTAAACATTATAAGTTTTTCACATACAAAAAGTCATATTTTTTAGTGAAGTATTTTAAATAAACTAAAAAAAAATTGTCCATGAATATATCAAGCATTTGTTTTGAATAGATCATGTACAAAGTGATTTTCATATCAAGATTAAAACTACTTTTCTTCATCTCAAAAATCTCAGATTTGATTTGTGTAAGCTCAAAAACCTCCTAAATACATGTCAAACGTTTGTTTTCAGTGAAACTTTATATTTTATCTGTTATTTTCTCTACCCTAACTCTATGCATGATTGGTCAATTTGACTCCTAACCATAAAGAAATAATTGAAATAAATCTAAATTACCCTTTTTCTTTCTAGAATGACTTCAAATTGTAACATGAAACTACATTTGTTTATCTTAAGTAGCTTTAAACTCATAACAGTATACATCTATCTGTAATTTAATTTTATTGTTTTATTGCCCTTTGAACCATGTCTAATTACTATTTGTGCCATTATAAGTTTTAACTCGCTTGTGGAATGTGAAGCTCACATTACACTATCGAATTACATTACCCATGAGCTGCTTGCCATTGAGCCATAGATTGAGTTTTAGTAATTGTCGGACTAGAAACCACTGTTCTGAAACCACTAATCTAACGTAACCATTTCCTTTGGGGAAATACAGGAGAATTGGAAAAATGTGGAAGATTTTTTTTATTTTTATAAATACTAATTTTATTCAGAGAGAGGTATTGCCTCATCTCATCCTCATTGTGTTAATTATAACTAAACATTGATATAATCTTTCCTCTGTTAGTTTTTGACTATAAACGAGTTAATTATACTAATACCGATATAATCTTTGTCCTCTTAGGTTTTAATGTTTTCTTCAATATAAACAAGTTGATTATACTAAACACTGATATAATCTTTGATCTGCTAGGTTTTGATGCTTCCTTCAATATAAAAAAGTTGGTTATACTAAACACTGATATAATCTTTGTTCTGTTAGGTTTTGATGCTTTCTTCAATATAAACAAATTAGTTATACTAAACACTGATATAATTTTTGTTCTGCTAGGTTTTGATGCTTTCTTCAATATAAACAAGTTGGTTATACTAAACACTGATATAATCTTTGTTCTGCTAGGTTTTGATGCTTTCTTCAATATAAACAAGTTGGTTATACTAAACACCAGTATAATCTTTGTTCTGCTAGGTTTTGATGCTTTCTTCACTATAAACAAGTTGGGTATACTAAACACTGATATAATCTTTGTTCTGCTAGGCTTTGATGCTTTCTTCACTATAAACAAGTTGGGTATACTAAACACTGATATAATCTTTGTTCTGCTAAGTTTTGTACTTTCTTCTACTATTAATGAGTTCATATTATTAAACACTGATATTATAATCTTGGTTCTGCTAGTTTTTCATGCTTTCTTCTTTCTTCTGCTTTGATGATAACTCAAAAACCATAACAATGGTTTCAACTAATTTCAATGAAGTAACAGTTTCAAACAGAGTATCTGCTTTTATAACTATTAGTAATAATTAGTAGTAATTTAAATAAAATATAATTCTGGTGTAAATGATGTTATCATTACCCCTTGAAGTTAACTTTTTACAGAAATTTGATGTTCCTTTAAATAACAGATAAACAATAAATATTACAGTTGGAATCTCATTGTATTTAGAACTTGGTTATATACACAACCTTCCTATGTCTATTGAAACATTGCACTAAAAAAAACAAGAAAACAAATAAAGAAAAACTTAAAAAAAAAAGAAATATATGTTGAGATGGCTAATATCAATCCTTCAAAAACAACACAAACAACTTAGTACAGATGGCATTTACATCATCCCTACATAATTGCACATTCACACAGTATAGTAGAATATTAACAGAGAAAAATGGGATAAATTTAAATCAATTGTGATTGAATAATTATATATATATTGCTATATGTTAATTCTTACCCGTGCTATTATGTAGGGATTATGTGGGGACATTATCTTGTTTGCATTGGTTTTGAAGGATTCATATTAGCCATCCTTACATTTACATCCTTTTTTTTTTGAAAAGTTTTTTATTTACTTGGAATTGAATGCAATGCAAATAACACTGATTTTAGAAAAGTTTTAACAGAATTATATCATTTTATCTAAACGCTTTTGATCAGTCATACAAAGTTACTCAGCCTTCTGGATGGTGACACATTAATCTCATATGAACATAAGTGTGATCATTCACTTGTTTAGGATTTTTACAAATTAATTCTCAGAAAGCTTTGGTCATTTGAAATTTTGTGTTGAAGGCTGGTCTTTACTGCTTGAAGTTCTCGTATCTCGAGATTTTAGTGGTAATTTTGAAACTTTATTCTGATTTCTTCTAGATACAGCACACCACATACTTTTACAGAAAGATAGGAATCCTAACCATTTTTTTAAATTCCTAAATATATGGGTTTCTCGCAGCTAATCTTTCTAATGCTGGTTAGATTTCTGGATGGTGTATGCTTAGGTTTAAACAAAGAATATTTATTACTTGCTTCATTGAACATCAATAGGGTCTATCAACCATGACTTGTAGGAGTTCAAACTACTATCAGCCTGACTATGTTTCGTTATCAGAGTTGTGTTTAAAGTGATCTTGAAAAGGTACTGGTGAGCAGGAATTTGGAAGGGGGGCCTAGATTAGTGTTATATGTACTTTTGTGTGAAACCAAAGGGTTGAGGGTAGGTTGTTGTGTAAAAGTGTGTGTGTGTGTGTGTGTATATATATATATTTGTTGGTATGTCAGTGAAACTACAATAAACTGAACACTTTAATTAATGGGAATAAAACTGTCCTTACATACAAAATAGATCTCTAGACTACCAAGTTTAAGGCTTAGAAAATATTACAGTGATTGAATTTAACAAAAAAAGATGCAGACAGAACCTTACAGCAAAGTTGGATAAAATTTCTAAAATGTCAGAGTTGATTTTATAATTCACACCATGTCTATAACTGACCAATGACATAATGGAATTCTGGGAACTTGATAGTAATTTTCACCCTATCATAAAACAGTCTCACACAAAAGGTGATAGTGCACATCATCCTTGACTGAGTCTTGTCATAGATATTAATACCTGGGGCTAATTTCTGTTTGCCCTCAGAAAACAGTCACACAACAGGTGACAGTGCACATCATCCTTGACTGAGTCTTGTCATAGATATTAATACCTGGGGCTAATTTCTGTTTGCCCTCAGAAAACAGTCACACAACAGGTGATAGTGCACATCATCCTTGACTGAGTCTTGTCATAGATATTAATATCTAGGGCGAATTTCTGTTTGCCCTCAGAAAACAGTTAATTTGACTGACCTCATAACCACCAAAATAAAATCAAAATAGATCTAAATTACCCTTTTTTCTTTCTAGAATGACTTCATATTGTAACATGAAACTACAATCGTTTACCCTAAGTAGCTTGAAACTCATAACTGTATACATTTATTTATAATTCAATTTTATTGTTTTATTGCCCTTTGAACCATGTCTAAGTACTGTTCGTGCCATTATAATTTGTAAATCACTTGGGGAACATGGAGCTCACATTATACTGTTGAATTACCTTATCCACGAGCTGCTCATGTGCATGCCTCGTGAAATATTTTTATGATATTATTATTTATTTTACCTAATCTACCGTAACTAACCTAAAGAGAGCTATATTTTTACATTTTAGCTACTTTTATAATATCAAGTGAATAATAAACAAGAAATATTATTATTTGTTTTATGCTATTGACTATTGATGACAGTTAACCCTAACCCTACTTTTTTATACTAATGGTAGTAGTGCATTAAATAATTTTTATTTAATTAAATAATGCATCAAAGAACATATAATAATAAAATGCAATAAGCAGACAATTTCCTCTAGCAATCACAAATTTTCTGGCTTTCTAACTATGCAACAAGAACCATTACAAATTCATTCAAGCTAGTTGTTACTTTTCCTGTGAGAATGAAGCTTGTACTACAAGTGAAATTAACGATTATACTGTTCAGAACACAACATAATATAATACTCCATTTGGTAGAATAAAATCTTGGTTTTCGATTGGTTATAGTTAATATATAATTAAATGTAAGAGAGAATTATTAACAAAACCTGATAGAGAGGATGTGATTGGTGGTTGTGTCTGATGTTTTATATGATAGCTCTGTAACCTAACAAAACAGAAGACTATAAAAATTATGGTTTTTCTGAGCAATGACAAATTTATAGTGAGTAATTTACATTTAATTTCATAATTACTGGAGGGATGGTGGATAAGACAGAGACGATACCTAGAGAAAATGTGTCACACCAGGGAAAATTCAGGATTTTTTAAATACTGCCTTATAGAATTAAGAACTTAAAACTTATATACTATTAAAATATGGATTATTAACTAAGATTTTGTGCTATACTAATTGGTATAATATAACAAAAAGTAGTGCAATAAAATTTTGAATGTAAGACAGTAAAACCATGTGTCATGTACAGTAAAGGATACCTCGGGCGATAGGGTTAAACAAACTGGTCTTCTCTCTGCTTCATGGCCCTCCAGACATTTCTCCAGTCTTCATATCCACCATAGTGAAACCTATGATCAATCTTTTAAAATTTATCAAATCTATGAACTTAGCAAAGTACTTATTACGAGTGGGGCAAAGGGGGTTATCTATATCCCTAAAAAACCCCAGTTTGGGAAAGTTTCTTTCCTTTAAAAACTAAAGCCCTGTCATGGTTTATTTGTTGTTGTTTTTTATCCAGATGAAGTGATGCATGAGGCATTACTATTTTGGGGATTATTGTACATAGATGAAGTGATGCATGAGGTCTTACTACTTTAGGAATTATTGTACATAGATGAAGTGATGCATGAGGCATTACTGCTTTAGGAA